GTTCAGACGATGCCGAAAACAACGATTTTTATAAGGGCTGATATCAAAACGAAAGCCTTGGATCCGATCACCAGAGAAACGACGAAGGACGACAAAGGTGTGTACGATAAGAGCTCTGATAATGTCATCTGTATTATGCAATAATTGATTAGAAGCAAATTTGAAAAGTGCTGATCTAAAAAAACCATAATCATACGTATTGTGTATGGATTGTTCAGGTTTATAATATTTGGTCACTTATTATTCTGTGCAGGGCAATACAAAATGCATGACTGTAGGTGACCTCGCTCGGCATAGTCCGCCATATCCCTAAGCAGTGCCGTATGTTGTTGGACGTCTCGTTGTGATCCGTTAAATACTCACGTTGCCTTTACCTCCGTGGCTACGTTCGCACTAGCGCAACTAGTAATAGTTACGATCCGAAAATTTCCAGTTAATTGTGGGGTTAACGGTGACTGACGGACTCCGTAAAGTGTTTTCCCTCGGTGACAGTAGACCGTGCTCTGATCATACATGACAATGATTTCTTTCCGAGGAGATAATTCAGCACGAAAATGTTTCTACTCATCATTATATTTGATACCCTTTTACTTGTTTGTTTTCGCATGACCTCAATGCGCGTATTGGTGCCGCTCGTTTTCCTTAGGTATATGGGTTCGTCTATAAGCGATCCCTCCGTACTTTTCAGCAATAAGATGCGAATGTTTTCAATTTTTCTATTCAATTAAATTTATGTTTCTATTCGTTTCCTAGTCTTAGATTTTCGTATGTGATAGATACAATCTAAGAATGAAAGTGCCAACATGAAGTTCTGACTAGAAATAACCCACATGGTCTAATATCATTTGCGGTATTTCCTATTGCTACCAATCAGTCTAATTTTGCCTCTCCACACTTTCCGCATCCGAATATTCGATGCTAAACTGAAAACTTCTCGGGCCAACCGCTACAGGCCGTTTGACAATGACCTTTAAGTTAGGATTTGATTATAGACTTTTCTTTGCAACTTATCCAAATTCAGGCTGTCTCAATAGAGCAGACCGGCGCTCGACTTTATTCTTTTTTTAGTAGGAATTATGGCTCTAAATTTTATGGAAACCAAAATGAAAACTACAAGAGCTGGGAAATAGGCATAATCAGGCGAATGTTGTCGGTTAGAAAGAAGGCACTCACATACACACATGAAAGGATACTTCTACATAATGTAAATAAAACGAATTTTAAAAGTTAAATGAAACTTTTATAATTCAGTTGTCGAACTGTCTTCGTGGAGCAGAAAGCAGTACGCCCCTGGATACAAATATAATTTTGTCCTTATTAATGGCTTCTTTATTGGTGAAACGTTATCATTAGACAACCTTCAGTGAGTAATCTAGTTCATCGTAAAACAGAGGCCAATACTAGGCTCCGTCGCTACGTTCCACCGCGTCACTCCGTACGATATCTCGTGTGGTTCGGTAATAGTAATGATTGTAATAGATCCAATTCCTTTTATGATAGCCGTCTGTAGTTAGCGGGTCATTGAAAAAGCGAAGTTCTTCTTCGAATTTCTTTCTTCCTCTATTATTTCGATGCCTACTGTCACGAGTGAAACTTGCCGGGGCAAAAATAAATTAGTGCCACCAAACAAGATGGCGTCATTTATCTCCTCTTCGCTTTTAGAGTCTTCGTCCTTCCGTGATGTCGTTCCCAAAAGAGGTTAGAAGCCCGGGCCCGCCCTTTATAGCTTTGTTCTGAACCGCGGCAATGACACGGATCGATGAAAGTGTAATCGACCGCTCGTAGTTAGCGAGCCACTTAAACTCCATAACATACATATAGCCTGTTCCATATGATTCAGGTAATCGTTTTCGACTTGGTTCGCGAGTATGCAGGTAGATAAAGTCGCCATAATAAGCTGGTCATGTTACGAAACTTGTTAAGTTAAACAGGCAATTTTTCCGTACTTGTATATATATATATATATATATATATGTATGTATGTATGCTTTCCATTTAATTCTCTGTGTACGTACTTAAACTAATACACGGCCAGTGGAAGTATTTACGTTAGGCATTGAAATTGCGATGTGTTAATTGTTTCTATTCGTGTTTCGCGTCGGATCATAATTCCAATTGATGGGGTACAATCTTTGTTATATTCTACAAAAGTATATAAGATGTATAATAATGTGGAACAGTGTTATGGACACCTGGGACAATACACCAACAGGATAAACGAGGTCATGCATCACATATAAAAAAGAAAGGAATCAAAGCTCTCTATCTAAGTAACTAAATAGGATTGATTTTTTTAATATGAATAGAATACTTTACACATCCTATATAGGCTTCTCATTATCGTATGACAAATATTTTTCTTTCTACAATTTTACTTTGATCCTTCGAGGAACTGACACAATCCATCTCGATATTATCCATCCCCTAAGTAATCGCCTTAAAATACAAGCATTGGAAAAATAGACAGCCTTAAGCATCGCTACTAAATACCGCTTAAATTAGCTTATTTTAAAAAGCAAAATAAAGAATCTGTCTTCTACTATAGTCCGGCCATCTGCCATTTTCCATTTCATATGGAAACAATGAATCTATGATGATCATTATATGAGAGTTTAGGGAAAGAGTTCATCTGCACTATTTATTCAGGTCGGAGCCTCGTTTAAAGCTGTCACGACAGCGGCAGGTGCTATCACCGGGTACAACTTAATAGTATCATTGAAGGTATATTGTTAAGTTAGCGACTCGATAATTGAAGGAACAGAGCTGAGTGTAAATGCGACTCAATTCGTCAGTGAACGTTAAGGTAAACGTAAGAAAACAAACAAACAAACATGATATAGGGGAAAATCTATAAATCGCAAGTGATTTATTTTCTGTAAATCGACACATGTACTCCATAATTAATGATTCTTAAACACTTTCAAAACAAATATGCTTACCGGCGTTTACTAGAAGACCTTTTCGCTTCATTTATATGTTGGACATAGGTGGCACCACCTAACAACTAATCGTATCCCTCGAGTAAACATCAATATGTGCTTCTTCAGTTACTTTCGGCGCAAAGCCGCTGTTCGGTGTGTTCTCAGTGAGGAAGAAATCTTTTAAAAATAATGTGTATATTATTTCAAGCCTGTCTTCTTCACGTATTGTGTTGTAGAACAGATCAGATCTTCGTGACTTTCCTGCAGCCCAGATCGAACTGGTAAGCTTCTGTGAAGAACAGTATCACACATCAGTCTGTGATATCACAGCTTAACCGAGCGGACTGTCTAAACAGATAAGTCTTTCCTTATTTTAACTATTCGTTCCGTCAACCTGTGACGAATTGTTGTATTGTTCAAATCTTGGTATATTAAATTTAGAATTTCCGGTATATTGAGATAATATCCTACATAAGAATCCAGAATTCATATGGCAAATTTGTTCAAGTGTTATTGCAGAATAGCGCCATATGAGCGCTTCTTGTTTCTATACTAATTCACTGACGGAGCAGGCATAATGCTTCGTGCTAAAGGAATTTACTGGAGGCTGTTTGTGCGGCATTTTCGGCAATTGTGAAACGAAAAAGCAGGACCGCACCGAGGCTTTAACTGAAAACTGTCCTTATTAAAAAAGTCTAGTACATAGATTAACTTTGATTCAGGATCCAATTGGAACTGCCGCTTCCACTATAATAATACACACTGTAATAACTCAATATCGACTTGGTTATGTGTGTTATAATCTTCTATTAAGGTCGCACGATATCAATCACACCAACAAATATTGCTTACGGCAGCCAGCACCGTATTTGTTTGAGCGTATTGAAAACTGCTATCCTCAGAGAGTCACACGGCTCTCAGAATCAGGACTGCTATAAGGGTCTAGTGGTTAGATCTAGGAAACATCGTGATGTTGCAGGCCCCATATGGCACACGGAGTGATCTTATTTAGACACCGTAGCCATCCTTACTACTTACCATACCTACGCCAGGGGCTGACGCACTTCTTCTGATTCTGGGCCTTTCTACGGGCAACTAATTCCCAGCGGGCTCGTAGAGGCCCCTATAACCTGAATAAAAACGTTAAGAACATGAAGGTGATGGGGTAGGATGGATGTATCAAAAAGGAATGGCCAAGCAAAGTCTTTTTGCCAAAAAGAAGTATTTGTCACATGCGGTATCTGCCAGGTTCGACCTACACGCATTCGTAAACACAAAAAAAAATCAGCCGATGTCAATATGCATAGATTTTAGATAAATTGGAAGCGGCTAAAGTGATTCCCAAGTTGTAAATGTAAAAAGAACAAATACTCGATGAGTTCAATATTTTCAGGCTTTACGGTTCGATTTTAACTAGATCGACCGTAGGAACACATCTGTTACTATAATTTTTTTCGGGTACATTTATTCAGATGTAATATACCGTTATGTTATTATAGCCTGGTCAACTCACTAAGCTCTGCTTCCGGGACCTGAAAGCCGGTCGCCAGGTGGGTTAGCTGATGCTTCTGCTAACGAGGGATTTGATGGCTTTGAACTCCTCGGTTCTCATTAGTCAGTGCATAATAGAACGAATCTCGGGATAAATTGGGACAGATTCGTTAACTGGTAAAGCGACGAAAGAGCAGGTATAGGACATCTGTGCGACCGGGCACATAGTTAAGAGAATCTACAATAGCTCCCAGACGCTACTTCTCACAGCTATCTATCTAAGACAGGCCGAAACGGAGACAGCTTGGAAAAGAAGCTGTAAGGATTTTTTATTTTAACAGACCATCAGCTAGTTGGTTTTAATTCGCTCCATGTGGGATCATAACGTGAGGCGTTTAAGTGAAATTTCCTGTTAGTTACCGAAAATTCAAATCTGTTACGTTAAAATTGTATTTTATTGCCACCGTTAATGTATGCCAGAGATGGCATGCTCGCGTATAAATACACACAAAATGGGTGAAACGCGCAAGATTTCTTTTATTTCTATTGGACCTTTTCAGTGTTGTAGACTTCCAGCTCTGGGTGCTAGTTCTAATACAGAGAATAGAATAGCCATGTATGCCAGATGAACCGATATTCGTGGCGGAAGACTTCGCGCCTGGCTCTCGAAGTCACTGGAAACAAAATTGGTTTGTAAAAAATTTAAACGAGGTTTGCTATATTAATATTTCCAACATAGGTGGTAGTTGATTCGTCCGTCGAAGAATCTTGCTGCATTGCCTCCTCTCCATGTTCGCCTTCCTACGCCCTTTCACCAGGTTAAGGAGCACTAATTATAATAACGGTTAGGTTTTTTTCTGCCTCATTACCCAGATTCGTTGAATATTGCCGCTACTGTAATATAATCTTAAGCTAGATCAAGGAATCTCTTCAGAACGAGCTCCCATGTGACGCCAGCAGTAGGCAGAGACAGCCGTTAGAAAAGATCTGTGCTTTATCTCATCGGTCGACGGGAGACGTTCGTACGGTCAGGCATCACCCGTGCATGGTTGAAGTTTCCAATAGGAGAACAGTTTTTAGTACGGCAGGATGAGTGTTTGTGAGAGAAGAAGAAAAGAGGGAGGAGGGTGAAAAAAATCCGACATTGACAATCACGTAGAAAGGTCTCCAGCCACAAGGAGGCAAATGGAGATTGTTACAATTCAGGAGAAAAAAGGTTCTATGTTGGCACGCCACATATCATGGCCTAATGGACGAAATTGGGGGTATGAGCGGAGATGGATAATAGGTAGAAGAGCGCTTGGCAACAGGGGACAGCTCGGATCATGAAACTTATTCGAAGGCTGAATTGCCAGAGCAATACAACTAACTGTTGTAACGTGTAGTAGCTGCTGATACCGCTAAAAACACTAGAGACGTGCTTCGATTACCAACATTTGCGAGCTTCATACAGGTAGCTCGTACATGTAATGGATAAAACGAGGGGTTAAACTTTGCAAGGTTTACTAAGGAACAGCTTAGCTAAGGCTTTCGACAGAGCTTTCTACATTCATGTTTAATCCGTCGAAGATGAACTGTGCCCACACAGAAACGAGGGACAAAGAAATCGAAGTCATAATTAATTGATCTTGAACCACTCTAATCATGGCTGCATTACAGTGGCAAACAGAGGCAACCCTTCATAAATGTTTCTATCACAAATCTGCTTTACTCTATTGATAATAGAGAAACTTGTATTGTATCGTAATCAGTTTGCCGTCGTATAGCCCAAAAAAACATGGCTACCCTTGTCTTGAGGAAGTGGGCATCTCCCAACATGCGTACCAAAGATTCTTAAATTCACGTATTACCTATTTCACAGAGTGTTTCACAAGGCAAAGATTATGCCCTGCTATAAATAACACTAAACAATAATGAACTTAAGCTTATCATGACTTACCTTACTTTCTTTGTAAGCACATATGCTCCATCCACACAAATCTTATATGTGTAATATGTATGCTCACGAAACGCTATTACACTCAGTAAAAAGTAAATTAATATTTTTACAGTATTAATTTACAATACAATAAGTTACTAATATATATATATATATATATATATGTAAATAAAAAATAAGTAATACATTTTAAAAAGTTATGTCCTTAATATATGTCACACTATAAGTTTTACTCCTACCGTTTACAAGTCTAATGAGCGATGGGTGTGTTCTTGCAGTGATCTCCTCTCACGGTTTCGAAAATCGGCCGCATTGCTCAACTACGTATAGGGCGAGCCGTTATTTTGTCTTTCATCTTCGTTTTTTATTCATTCTGTAAACAATAGTCAAGGGGCCATAAGAGGAAACTTCATGTCTAATGCATCTGTCCAGCCCTATTTCGATCCCACTGAAAAACAAAAATTTCTACTTGAATAGCTACAGCTGGCTGGACTAGTATAAAACTAAATAGGCTAAACCAACTATATAGGTTAGGATTAAATTGATAATATTAGACAACTGCACTACGTTCAAATTAGAGGTAATAAATAAATAAACAATAAATAGTTGCTGCGAGACACTTCAAAAGAGGTTGTCGTTAAAGTTCCGCCAACTATATATATATATGTATTGCATAACGAGTCATAGTGGTTTTGGTTTGTCATAATTGTTACTTTCTATGCTGCCTACTTTTGATCTTAGAATACGCTATCGAGTAATCACATAAATTCTCTTCGAGAGCTGTTTTTTTTTTTGTTTTTTTAGTATTTCCCCCAACATAGCTGTGCGAATACCTGTCAAGGCATAGTAAACTACTCTTTGTTTGTAGAGAACAGCTTTCAATTCAAATGTGAACTTCCGATACATGCTTAGATATACTAAAGAAAGATTCAGTATATAATGTAAGGATATTCATCGGCAGGAACTGTCTTTAGAGATTAAAAAATGATCAAGATAAAATTCTACGATGGGGTGAAAAATCTACTTGAAACAATATTACAGCTGCTGCTTGCAAAAGGATTTAAAAGGCTAGGAATGCTTTATGAGAAGAGTCTCTGTTTTATCTAATACTATATATATTAATACTGTACAGTTACTTAGAATTTTTCAAAAACAAAAAATTCTCAATAACAATCTCACAGACACGTCATCTGTGCCGAACTTCAGAAAAGGTGACCTTCGTATAAAATATAAAACCGGCGCAGTTATTTACATATTTTCGTATATAAACTTTCGATATCTGAAATATTCGTCCGGCCGGTTGCTCAACTTCGCAGAGGCCGAATGCAGATCGTTTTCTCGTTCGAGAAAGAATGAAAAGTAAATTTCTTGTTAAATAGTTATGCATTTTGCTTTTACAATGAATAGCAATGAATGAAAATAACAAACACTCATTAGAAAATAATGCAACCGCCTAGTATTACACTTGAACTAACAATTTGATCTAATAGAAAACGCATAGATTAACACTGTGTAATAAATGTATACTTATGTTTATTAGGTTCCCTCAATCTTGTAACAGTTTTTAACAAGTGAAACATACATAAAAGTACATAAAGAAATATATTACGAATGTACATATGTTTTGTGATCTATTGTTTCTATCGATCTAGTACTTAGTACATTGGAATGTTGTTACAAACCCTTTATTCCATGTACGCTATCAACCGAACCCGAATCAGTTTATAGGTCTGTAATAAGAAAAAAAAAAAGCCACTAACAATAAATATAGCAATAAATTCATCACTGAAATTTTACGGCTGGACAAAAATTATCGCTACATACAGTCGCTAATCCTAGGTACGTGGACGAGTTATTAACATGCAACGCTAACTTAAACGCTAGCCCCACGACCCTGTAGATACTACGGTCGGATTCGATTTCCATTAAACACATATTCGACGATAAAGGCTGTCTAACCTACGATTACAGGTGCCCTAAATTGTGGAATAGTTGTATTGTTCGTGGAATTTGTCTGTTCAAGACGACTGCTAATAGGTAGGGTCAAGCGAGTACTTTTGATAGCACAAGATCAGTATTTAAGATTTAAAGACTCGATAAATGGTAGCTTTCTTTCTTTACGTCGATATCCAGAAAACACCTTGTAAAACCACATGACGAATATACCAAAAGCCTCGTAGATCATAAGAAACGAAGTTCCTGTAAACATGTTGAGAAATCCACCCACATTTGACAATGCCGAAATAGCACTCATTTCCTAAAAAAATACAAAAAACAGTACAATAATATCATTAAAATCGATGTTGACGCTAAGGGCAAAATAAAGCTAATAGGTGCACAAACCAACGCCGATTTCCAGTAATTCACCTCTTTTTCAGTGATCGCAGTGACCATCGCGCTCTGCAAATAAATAACGATATTACTGAGGGGAGTCGCCTGTTCCTGGTCGATGCCTCCTGAACGGAGAGTCTGCGTCCAAGCAACCCTTGATACCGATCGTTTGTAGGTAACCTCTTCACAACGCTTCGGACAGTCGCACGCATCCGTGATTCCTCCAGGATTTTGTACAAATTTGTCTCGACAGGCCGTCCCTTCTTTGTAGTCCACGCAAACACTGGAAACGTACCGTATTCGACGAAAGCTACATTATTCAAGAACTGGTTGTACGAGGCCATTTACTCTGTAGGTTATTAATATCCATGCTTTCTCTATGAGAAAAGAAGTTGTACTTTATAAGCACCCGTTTTAGGAAGGAAGCATAGATTTTTCTATACCGTCCATTACTTCTGTTTCTAAGCGAAATCCAAATGATTGATTTTTTACGTTTCTTTTGATTGAGCACGCTACACGCTTGCCTGATTGCTGCCTCTTGTCACAAATCAACATACATTTGTAAGAACCATATGAATATTGCATGCACGTTCTATGTCTGCTGGCCTACGATGGTACTCTATTTACGTTTCGAAATAAAAACCTCGTCTACTTTCTGTAGATAACCAAGGTGTTGTTCATGAAAAAGATAAATCGAAAAAAACAACACAACAATTTGGTAAGACAAGCGAGATCATACTCTGGCTTCTTAACCATTAAGCCACAAAATATAAAATTATTGACTGAATAATCTGATTTAGCGATAAGTTTTGTAAAATTAAGTTTTGCTGTTTAAGGTGCATCCAGGCGCCAAGAACCGCGAATGGACAGTATTAAAATACAATTCAGCATATCTCCAGACTACAGAAGGGTACGACGCCATATTTTATGTTTGCAATCAACACCTCATTTTTACTGCATAACTAAACAACATCATAGAAAGCTTTATATAATAATATCGCTCCTTTTTTTTGGCTGATTCTAAGCACGATTATGTTACTGATGAGCTGGGTGCCGTTTAGTAAAACAAAAATCTTATCGTTGTTGGCGAATAATTATTAAAATAAAGTTAATGCTAGTCGTACATCACACGTACTGACTTCGCGGCCGTTGATTAGTTTTCCATAAAGTCATGTAAGCATTACTCTTCACTCCATAAGGCGATGGAGTATTGAGTAACGTATCTATGACTGCCAACATTGTTTTTAGCATCCTTTTGAATTCTGTGATGAAATCTGAGTGATGGTATCACATCATTGTTGTACGCTCTTTGCAAGATCAAGAATGGCCGATAGACCTTTGGCAAGATTTGATCAGCTCTAAGCTACTTTCAGATGGCACCTGCCTGGTCCGTTCGCGAGGACGTAGTTCTGTCGAATGCCGTACCTGTTTGCGTCCAGTAGTTTCTGAATGTCTGTGCCCTTATACATCTCGAGACAGTTACATAGTCTCATGATATTGTAGCTGATGCAAACTTTCCGGCAGCTCTCCTCAGAGTAGCGGTCATGTTCACTAAGATAGGCATTGTATGGCTTCCCCTTCGGCCATGTGGTATGACAGTTTGACCGGAATGGTGCCTCTAACAGATTCACCTGCTTCTTGGAGATTCCAATGAAAGTTGACATTGCCAAAGGAGCGTATATACCTGCAAAGCAAAACACAAAGATTGTATTGCTATATAGCATGCATAGTGTTTCGGTTCCCCTTTCTAAAACTTATCCATCGTGTAAATGGAGTGCCATACTGTGTATCTATCTCGTTAGCATCAATTGAGATCTATCTGTGAACACAAGATTCAGAGACGAGCCCATTTCCATACAATATAGCGTACATCCTTGTTGGTGAATTGAGGCTTTCTCATCCTTGTATTGAAAACGCCAATCAAAACCATGTAACTGGTTGGCCAATATTGCTCCAAATCATGTGCCTAACATAGAAACTGCGTACTGTTTATGCGTCGTTGGTTGGGCTCGCAGTAACGACTGCCATCTCCTCATAATCTCTTTCAGTCAGAATCGTGGCCGTCCGGTCGTTTAACTCTAATACATTTGTAAACAAATCGTTAATACATTATCTTAATTCCAAAATATATGATGCTTTACTAAAAAATATACTTCTGCTGGTTTTTATGAGCCCTCGCTTCGTAATATACACGAATTCATGTATGGCGGTGCTCGCAACTAACAGCCTGAGCAAGCGAACGATCTTCAGTCTCTACGCAAACGCATGGTTCATCTATATTGTTTTCTCATTGACCGATTGCATTTATCTATCTACTGCTAATCTCTGCTAGCCAGTCGGCGGCCAACGACTCATGTGAGCGTTCAATAGGGTGCGGTACAGCCCTTAGTTAGTTGACAGCGATAAACATTTACCCCAGTTGCGGACTTTGTCAAGCGGTCAATTAAATGGTTACGTATTCGCTTGAGTCTGATACGCTTTCTGGTACAGTTACTCCGATCTGTGACACACTGGCTTACATGACATATATAGCAGATGTTGGAAATACATAGCTACGAGTTCAAGCGATTGTATATAATAACGTGCATGCAACGTATGTGCATCTACTATACTCCATATAGGGAAATTACACGGAGGGCATAATCCATACATAAGTTACCGTAATAAGTGTCTGTAAAAGTTGAAATTAGATATTGATACAATGAAGCAGTAAACCAACCTTCTACTATAAAAGCTTTTCTGCTTAAGGATGACGTACTTCTTCGCCAGAACCAATGTACTGAAAAATATATAAGCAGTGCCGTGTGAAGTTCACTTCTCGATTATATTGCCGTGTCTATCGTAAGTTTGTCTAAAACGACCCACTATATACTTTGAGTTCCGGAGCTTCTTTTTTGGAGCCGCTATAGCTAACAGAGCCAAAGCAACGCCTAAATTATGGCCCTTCTGTTGACACCGAGTGTAAATGCATTTGTAAACAGGCCATACACTTAGTGCTTATCAATTCACACGCTTTTTTACTGCGTTTCGTAACCTGTAATCGTTTGGAGGGGTTGCAGCTAAGCCATCGGTTACTGCAACAATCAGAACGGTTAGGCCTGCCCACAAAATTGTGCCAAATTGAAACGTGCATGAATTATTCCAGCAATAAAAAAGGATCATGCCTAACTGAGCTAAGATAGAAACAGGTCGAGACCTGTTATCACTGGCATTTGGCGCATTTTCCGGCAACATCGAAGTTGAGCATATTCTTACGTTTCTTTTTGATGGCCTAACGCAACTTACATATATATCTCGTAAGTTGGGTGAGAAATTTTCTTTCTTAATCAGCTTGACTGAAATTTTGACTCGAAATAACTACTTGAAGGTCTCTATTCGAAATTAAAAAATGCATATTTGGTACTATTTTATGTATTTTATCGAGGCCAAAATGCTGCCGAAACAATTCGGCTTATTAATCTTGTGTACGGTAGCGGCGCTATCGTTGAAAGGACTATTCTAGAATTGTCTGTCAAGTTTGAAGAGGTACCAGAATTCAGACGATGCTTTTACTCCAGCCAATCACTTGGACCAATAATCTAAAAGCACCTTTGAAGAAAAACTTACAGATAAATCGAAAATCAACCGCACATGTTGCCCCATGAACTTCCTGAACTCAGCAAAGGGAAGTGACGGCTCAATGATGCATTTTAACATTTCATCCGGCATTGAGCGCCACGCAGCCACAATGGCCTATTCCTGGACAAAATTGTCACTGGTAGTATTTGGAAGGAGAGGTCTAAAAGAATCCAAGTCCAAGGCCCTACTAGATAGTCATCCAAAAAAAAATATGTTTTGCGTTTTTTAGGATAACAGGAATTGCCTTCTACGAAGCGAAACGTTTTTTGTTCACTACGAACACATATAAGACGATATCCTACCTTCGAGTAGCACACAAGACACCTTATATCATATTTGAAAATACTGGAGAACATCGTGAACAATGACGGGAAAAAATATACCACCCACATGTGACTTCGAGAGCTAAACATAAAAGTCCCGACAACGATCTTAGTTTCGCCGTTGGCTAGCAGGAACGAGCGCTTTACAACAATTCCCTCTGCATGCATTTATTAAGACTGAGTCACGTTTATCTGGCGGAATGCCCTGACCCACGGCCGGCAGGTCTCAAGCCTCCAGTGCTTTTAATTTTACGATGCGCGAATCTCCACGGGCGCTGAAGGGGTTCCATTTTCCTCAAAGGCGACTAGCTGATGGCACGTTGACTAGATCTCAACGTTGTTGGGGGGTTTCTTGCACGAATACGCGGCAACAAGCACACAACTGGACCTCCTGTCATCCTGAAGGATATCATGCTGTTGTAAAAGTAAACTTAGTAGTTCGAGCCGTCCGTGCTGTTCAACAGGGAAGATGCTTGCCCACTTTTACCGGCTGATTCGCAGTTCCTTTGTCGACGGATCAGAAAAATACACACATTCTTCCTTCTCTCCCGCAAGTCGGCGTATATCACATCCATGTACATACGCACGTAGTCAAGCCCATGTTCTCCTATCAGGGAACTAGTGTGCCTTTAGTCAGCGTATAGCTTTTCTTAGGTCTGCACAACTCTGATGACAAGGCTTCGGCTGATTTTGACAGGATTGGTTTCGATCTTCCAAGACCGGTTCAGTATTGTCGAGGGTAAACCCACTGACTGTATATCTTCCTGCGACACCTGTTTTACCGCCACCCATAGAAAACAAGCTGGTTAAGTACTGAGGGTGGTACATGGCGGGCATACGACTTGGCCGATACAGAGTGCGACCTTCGAGCCTCGCAGTGCCAACACATTTAAAGCCTGTTACTTTGCAAGGTGAAGGTGAGGTTCGGCGGTTCTCGTTCAGCATGGACTAATCTCTGAAACGTCTTCTTCTTACTCCTGAAGCAGCAGCAAACGACTCAGGCGGCCTGGCTTTCTCAAAAATAAAACGGTCGTACACTTCAGTCTTGAAGCTGTATCATCCAATGTTCCAGTGTCCATGTTCCAATTAACGCGGGTCTAACCACACACGGACGTTCCTTGCAGGTAGTGCGGCTTTTTGAGTGTCATCTGGCGCGTTGACCACCCGCGATCTTCGTCTAAAGAATTTAAAGAAAGAATTGACTTAAATTCGTCAATCCACCTCTTCGACAAAGTTTTATTGAACGCGAACTCTGACAATGCCGTCCTATCATTCAAGCACTCGACGAATCAATCCACCGATGTGCTAGCATCGCTAGCCATTTCAACGCTACCATCAGTGTGAAGCGATGTGGGTTGAATCTGCCCTAGGCTGACACGAACGAGCGCTTTTCAGCCGTTTGCTTTGCAGTTATGTATACGTGGACGTATACTCACGGATTTATATTAGAATAATGAATACATGACAATATATATATATTTATACCTTCGATAAATATACGCTTCTACATACAGAAAACGTGGGTTACATTTATGTGAAAGTATTAAACGACAAAGATACTAAAAAGGTATAGACGCTAAATAAGCATGGTTGTTTTAATGACGTTACCATCCATGTTGGCATCGGCAAGTCGGTTTCGATCGTGAATCATGATGAGAAAGCCAACGCTCTTTCTTGACGTAAGATACGTATTCATGCTAGAGTTAAGGACTAGATTCAGACCGTGCAAGCGACCACTAGATAAAAAAAAACGAACGTTCTCGTTGACAGCTGTTAGGTTGCAGAACATACAGAAACAACGGCCATATCGATAAAATGATACAGTCTCTTCCTGGACCCAGTCGGATTTGCAATCTTCTTGATTAAAGCTACACGAGATTACTATGTCTTCCCAAGTGTATTTCGATTTTTCAATAAACGCTGCCAGAGTCTTGTTTGTGGCCGAGTGTGTCCTGAATCTGGTCATATGGTAAGCGAACTGCTCGGAGTTTTTCGACTCTTCACATATGCTTTGTCGTACTGAGTAGAAGGCCCCATCAGGATCGCAGAGCACATCCTTGCGAAACGGATTCAGATTGCAGATCGTAATTGCCGGAAGTATATCTGGATTACGGCCAACCAAAGTTACGGACACGATTGTATTGTACTGCCAGTACTCGATAACGGTGAGCGTAATGAAATATAATGTTGTTATAACAAGTGTTGCAAAGACGGCAATCCACAAACCGAGCCGAAATTTATTGGCAGTGCCAACAAGCACAATTCGGTCGATCCCTGTTAAGCCGTCGGCAAAAAGGTCTGCTAAAATTTGCCATTTATTATCATCATGATTGACAGTGAGAGCTGATACAAGATGAGCGAGCACTTTAAATCGGCCGTAACGCCCCTTCGTGGGCTTGCCATACTGTGGCATAAATGGCACGGATGGCTTAATGAACTCACTGTCTGATTTTATAGAATTCGGATCGCTACTGAGACTCCACCGAGGATTAGCCACGAGCGTGTTAAAGATGTCATTGTTTCGAATACGGGCCAGTCGTACCGCAGTACCTGCTGAGGTCAGTGAAGACATCAAAGCGCGCTAATAACAATGGCCACTGTATATAAATACAACTCTCATACACTAGTTGCCGCACTTATCACCGTTGAAGTATTACAAATACCATTCATCGAGCTATAAACACAATAAATACCATAGTTCATCGAAATGAGAAGTTATAGAAATACACGAGTCCGAACGCGA